GTTTCTCCTGTGAGGTCCTGGGCCTGCCTCCCCTCCCAGAATGTGCCTTTGCAAAGGGGAGCTTCTAGCAGAGAGCAGGATCTTGTGTGGCCACCAGGGTTCCAAGGCCCCATCCCAGAAAGACTCGAGAGTGACCACAGGGCCCCTGTGGGAGGCTTCCCAAGTTCCTCCTCCTGGCGCCCTTTTCCATTTTGGGGTCTCTGGTCTGAAATCACTTGTGGACTTCTGCTCTGAACTGTGTGGACTCTGCTCTGTGCCAGCTGGGGGGCCTCTGGCTGAGCTTCCATCTCACGGGTCCTGGGCTGCCCGCCCAGAGGAGCTCGTGCCAAGACAACTTCAAGCAGGGCCGCTTGCGGTGATTTCATCCCGCCCCACTCGTGGCTGTCGGATACAGCTCTGCGTGTCTCGCTCACACTGTGGTGTAGGTGGTAGGGCCTGTCTTTCTCATTCTGGAACAGACACCACGTGTGGCTGTCCCTGAGGGGAGTGGCGAGTGGGTCTGTGCTACTGTGCCTGGCCTGGGAACCGCCTCGCTCCTAACCTAATTACAGGGCCACACGGTTTGTCGGGCTCTCAGGAGTGTGAGTGTCTAGCACGTACCCCATGCGAGGGGCCAAGGGGGCTGCACAGGGGTGGGGCCTCCCCCTACCTAGGTGTCTTCTAAGCCGGCTGGGAGGTGACAGCCTTGGCCCATATATGCCTTTGTATTCAGAGGGTCTGTGGGCTGAAGCTGTCCCCCAGCTCAGTCAGGGCAGTGGCTCCTCCACCCAGGGCCGTCAGGGAAAGTGCCCAGGGCCGGGGCTATGACAGGGCAGGCCTCTGTGCAGGACTAGCAGAGGCACAGGACACATACCTGCTCCACCCACCTAAGGGCGCTAGAGGACGGTGGGGAGCTGGCTCCCAGGCGCAGACAGTTAGGCAACTGAGCACGTGACTGGCTCCTCTGAACCTTGACCCTCCATCAGTACACAAGGAGTATGGGTGAGTCAGGAAGGGCACAGAGCACAGAAGCCACTGCCCCTCCCTGTCCTCCCTCCTTCCCTTCTCCTGTGGACTCACCTGCCTCCCTTCTCCCTTCTCCGCCTCCTCCCCTCTCCACGCCCCACCCCGCCCTCTAGCAGAGGTGGAGGCCGGAGCTCTGCTGTTGGCAGCTGCCTCGTTGGGCCTGGTGCTGCTGACGCTGCTGCTTCTGCGCAGAAGCTGGGCCTGGGGCCTTCTTCTCATCGCCTGCTGCGAGTACGTCCCTCAGCCCATCCACGACCTGCTCATGGGCGACAGCAAGGAGCAGCGCATCTTGCGCCACATGCTAGAGCATGCCAAGGAGGGGGATCCACAGAGCGTGCTGGAGGCCATCGATGACTACTGCTCGCAGGAGTTTGCCATGATCGTGGGCGACCAGAAAGGTGGGTGACCCAGCTGGCAGGCGGGCAGCACAGCCCTGCCAGGAGTGGCCTGCCAGCACCCCATTTCTGGGTGGTTGGGAAGCTTGGGACGGGCCCAGATGGGGGTTAGGGGCTTATCTGGAGCCCTGGGGGCCTAAGCCGCAGGCCCAGCCTCTCACTTCCTGACCTGGACACCCATTGCGGGACTCTGTACCCACCCAGACCAGTGGGGAGAGAGCGATGTTAGACCAAAAAAAAAAAAAAGTGCTTTGTAAAGAGAGCACCAGCCCAGGAAGGCCCATAGTCCAGGGCCCCGGAGGTGGGAGTCAGGCTCTGCACTGTCCTTGCCACGGACTACTCAGTGGACACTGGTCCCTGGTGACTCCTCATGTCCCCACTGCTGGGGAGGCCCCCACAGTCATGGGGTTTGAACGTGGTATAACTGTCCTTGAACTCTGCCCAGCAGGCCTGGGACCTGCCTAGAGACCAGCCAGTCATGTTCTCCCAGCTCCCCTCCCTCCCCCATTGGTCTGCTTCTGACCTAGGACTTCAGGCTGGGGCAGAGGCAGGCCCTGCTACACTCCCTGGAGTCTGTCCCTGGGGACAAGACTGCCCCTGCCCAGCCCCCTCGGAGCCCATGACACAGCATCCAGCTCTGGGGACCCAGGCGGGCCCTGAGGACAGGGTGGGGGGGCTTCCAGAGAGGGCCACTGTGGCTTAGGGTGCATTGTGGTCAGCCAGGGAAGGTGGCAAGGATAGAGGGACCAGTGAGTGCAACGGTGCAGAGGCCTGAGGGACCATGGGATCCCCGATGGTATGCACAGTGGGCACCAGGTCCTCAGGGCCAGGGATCTGGGAGGTAAAAGACCCCCAGCAGCAGGTAGGACGGGTGGAGGTGAGAGGGCCAGAGGTTGGGCATCCTGGAGGGGCTGTAGCTCGGTCAAGAGAGGAGTGGGGCCCAGGACGGGGGTCGGGTCCCCCTGCCTCCACTTGCACTCACATCCCTCTCCCCTCGACCCTGCAGGCCAGATCATGGATGCCGTGGTGCGGGAGTACCAGCCCTCGGTGCTGCTGGAGCTGGGGGCCTACTGCGGCTACTCGGCCGTGCGCATGGGCCGCCTGCTGGCGCCTGGTGCCCGGCTGCTCACCATCGAGCTCAACCCTGACTACGCTGCCATCACCCAGCGTGTGCTGGACTTCGCGGGCCTGCAGGACAGGGTGTGTACGCCTGAGCTGGGTGAAGATAGGGATACTGAGGCTCAGAGGGGCCGGGGTAGGCCAGTCACCCCCAAGCCGGGTTCAAGCCCTCAGTCACAGAGCACCCACTGTAACCGGGCCCCACAGTGCTTCCCAGGCCCAGCAGCAAGGAAGGAAGCCCTGGCAGCTCGGTGAAGGGTTCCTGCTGCCCCGCTCTGCACAGCAGGGAACTCCCAAGGCTGCCCTGGGAGAGATGGGGGCAGAGCGGGGACTTGTCTCTCCAGAACCCCAAAGAAAACCGTTGGGTGAACAGTCATGTGGGTGTCCAGGCAGGTGGTCTCCTGTTTGTCCCCATGGGCGCGGGCACTGACAGAGTGCTGTTCCAGGGGTCAAGAGAGAAAATTACAACAAATTTAGCTGAAAGATCTCTATTGGCTTTATTTGTGATTCTAGAATTGGGCAACACTTCATTTATAAAACAGAATAAAATAAAACAAAATAGTATTCCAATGAGCTGAGCAGAGGAGTTTGGTTTTGTAGAGAGAAAAGGGCTGAAGAAAGCAGAAAAAAAGAACAAAAAGTGGACCGGTCATTTCAAAGTGACTTTCCTTATAAGGTGGGAACAGAGAAGTAAGTGCTTGGTTAACATTAGGTTGCTTTTTTTGGGTAAGCATTAAAGCAGAGGGAATAATTGAAACTGGCCTATTTGGGAAATTGGCTGTTGTCTCTCCTAATTTCTCGGAAGGTCAGAGAATAACTCAGTTTTGCTTTGGTGAACGAGGAACCTCAGCACGAGTGACTCCATTTTGGTTCTTAGTCTGGTCTTTTGAGGCCTAGTGCAGGAGCTCAGTCCCAAACAATGGCCTATAACTTTGATTTAACACAGGTAACAGTTCTGGTCGGGGCGTCCCAGGATATCATCCCCCAGCTGAAGAAGAAGTATGACGTGGACACGCTGGACATGGTTTTCCTCGACCACTGGAAGGACCGCTACCTGCCAGACACGATCCTCCTGGAGGTGAGCCACCACCCGCCTCGCCAGGATGGGCCTCCATGCTGCTGCAGGGGCCGCCGGCACCACCTGGTTGGTTGGCCTCAGTCTCTCTGAAGAGCCAGGTGCCCCAGCTAAGCCCTGCTGAGGGTGGCCCTTGGGGACAGAGCTGGGCCCTGGGGGGCAGCCGTGGGCACAGACCTCACTCCAACCAAGGTACCACGAGGACAGGGAGCACAGAAGGCTGAAGAGGCCCTGGGGAGGAGAGGGGAGGAAGGGGGTTCTGGGCACGGGGAGCTGGTCTAGGGGCCTGACTGGGTGGCCAATTGAGAATGGGGGTGCCAGCCCACCTGGACAGGGCACGGTGCCACCAGCTAGTGGGGTGAGCGCCATGGACCAGAAGGCCTGGGCAGAAAGGGCACAGGGCTGAGGTACAGAGGCAGAGCTGTTCTGGGCTGGGTGGTGGCTTGTGCTGGCTCAGGGGGAGGGGTGTCTCCTACAGAGCTTCCTCCTGGGTCCCTTGTGCAGCCCCGCACCCTACCCCTAGACTCTACCAGCCCCACCTGGTGAGGACCCCCAGTGCCTCCCTGAGTGAGGCTGAGCAGTGACTGCTGGCCCATCCTCAATCCCTGGATGGCTGCGGCTTGGTGACCCTTTGTGAGCTGACACTTACGGAGTTTCATACTGATGACACGCTAACTTGTCCCTCCCTGGTAGTCGAGAAGGGGACACTGAGCAGCTCCTTGGCCTTCCCCTAGGGCTCAGGATGCTCGGCCTCCCCACGGCCTCCCCGCCCAGTGCCAGTGTGGGGTCGTCCCACGTTGCTGTCTGGTGCCTGCTCACCTGCAGCTCTCCACAAGCCAGATGCTCCACTGTGGGACCATGGGCATGAGGGGACAGCCACCCAGGCCCTGGGCACAGATGGGAAGGAGCCAGAGTTTTACAGACCTGGTGGGTGCAAAAGGGCACAGAACGTTCTGGGAACAGGACGAGTCAGGGCATGGAGGGCTTGGAGCAGGTGAGGGTGGGCTTAGACTTGTTAGATCCAGAAGATCCCTGGCAGCCTTGTGGGGAGTGGAGCGGGATGGCTGGCGGAGGGCGTTTCAGAGGCCCCCAAACCATATTGGCGCGGTGCTAAGCCCTGCGAGTGGAGCACGAGGGAAGACCTGGGGCCCAGAAGGTGACCCGGAGGACCTGTGTCGGGAAGGGAGAAGGCAGTGGGGACTGGATGGCCTTGGGCCAGGACAGGGAGGCTGCGAGGAGCCCGTCTGGGCAGGGGGATGCCCAGCCCCAGCAGCGGGGGGGGGGGAAGCTGCAAATTGGGTTTGAGGGCAGAGAGCAGGCGGCTGGCCGGGCAGTGCTTGGTCGGGAGAGACAGACCCACAGCTGGGCTGCGTCCCAGGGGGTGGATCTC